ATTGGCAATAAAAAAAAAACTGTACAGAAAAATGTGGTAGGCCCTTATCACATCATGTCTTTTAATATGTGCACTGAAGAAAACTCTAAGAATAGTTATCTTAAACAATTGCTTCTGGTGATTTAACTACCAGAAGAACAGGATTAACTGACTTATGATTCCAAATTTTACTTTATGACTTTTTGGAAGAAAAAATGATGAATGCAGTCACTGGTTGGAGTCAGGGTAGCAGTAGGTAATGTAATTGGCTGACCTGATAACAGCACATTCTGGAAAGTCAGACATAGTAAACTTATTTCAGTGCTACATTAGACATAGAGCTTTTGTTGCTTCTTAATATGCCACTTCTTGCCATGAAGGCCCATCTATTTCAGGATCTATTATTTCATGAATGATGGGAATGGGAGCTCAGAGCAAGAAGCTCCCCTTTGAAGGAGCAACAAGATGTCTTTTCAAACAGACAACAGCAGCCAGAGCAGTAACTATAACATTTCAGTTTCATTTTAATTCAGTGGCAATGCATTCCTCAGGTGCGGTACTACAATCAGAGACAGTTATAAACAGCACCACAAATGGGCTTGTGTCATGCAATCTTACATTATGCATAAACAAAGAAATCTGTAGATTTTAACATGGATACTCAGAAGAGTCAACTGCGGAAGAACTACAGTAAATAAAATCCTAAATCAAACATAAGTACCATGAATCCTAAATGCTCATCATGGTGTCAGATAACTCTAATTCCTGTTCTTTATCAAGTCCACTACAAAGCTCTTGAAGCCACACAGTTTTCTTTCATTTTGGTACCTTTAAAAATCACAATTAATGCCACAATAGTTTTAGTTTTGGTTAAGCTTTTGTATTTTAAGGGGAAACTAATTGACTGAAGAGTCAAATAAGAGCTCATGCCTTTACTGTGGGACTGTTCTCTAATAAACACTGATGCCTAGCAAACCGAACTTTTGAAACTAAACATCACTTTATAGTTTGTCTATGAAGCTCTAAGCAGTGCCAAGATAACTCTACAGATGCTGTAGTCTTTTTTTAGCATGTTATAAATTAATTCAGCTCAGCATTAACAACAAGCATGAAACATTTTAGCTTCAGTGGCAATTTTTTTGAACAAGTTGTGCAGCTGGCAACAGAGGTTTCAAATGAAAATACCATCTCAACCATAAGTATAGCATTACTAGTGCCATGCTATAAAGGGGATCCTGTTCAGCTACATACCTTCTGTGTTTTACAACCTTTCCATGCACCAGGGGATCAGTCATTAAAAAGCCACTTCAGAAATAAAATAAAGACCTTCTTCTCCACCTGTGACAAGTTTCCATCAAGTGAAAACCTAACACTGATGCCTCCACAGCAGGCTGTTTATTGCCTGTTCCAGACAGTTTAAACATGGGCTCTGAATAGGGTTGGGGAAACGGAGGCACGCAACAGGCTTCAGGAAAAGAAAGATTTGACTTGGGTGACTTGAAAACTTCCTCTCCGCCATTCCACCATCTCCATCCCTAAACGTAAGGCAGACATTCAACGAGATTCCTTCTCCACCCCTCAAGGGTATTTTAATTCTATTCTCTCAGTCACAACTCACTGCACTATAAAAAAAACAAAACAAACTATGGTAGATCAAGTCTGCCAAAAGAAAATGGTTAAAATGCTTACTCCTCAGAAGCAAGTTACATTTTGAATTATATGGGTAGTCCAGCTAGATACATATTTTTCAGAAAAGAAAATATGTAAACAATTTTTTGGTGGGGGAATGTAGGAGTTAATTCCTTAGGTCAGTTTATTATTCCAAGTTCAGTTTTCCTGTATAAGGTGAATATATTTTAGAAAATGATCAAGATTGGTTAGAGAACTGACCTTTTCAGGAGGGAAAACAGTTTCACAATAGTGTCTTACTTCTGCTACTAAAAATTCATTACAATTTTATTTCTTCAAAATATGTTAAGTAACAATATGATAATATCTCTCTCAAAGAATGACATATTATTCTGTATAACCAAAACGAAAAACACTTAGAACGCATAAAAAACTCACCTTTAGTGAGACTTCCTGAGCACTCTGTCCATTTAACATTCATAGGACTTTTCTTTTTCCTGCCTAATGCACTAAATGCCCACAAGTACTCAAGACTGGATCACTATAATATGCATTTTAGGGACATATGGAGACCCCATATGCATGTAAACATTTCATAACTGCAAAAGCAAAAAGTGCCATGCTGAGAGAAACCACTAGCAGTCAAGGGCTCACAGGGCAAACCAAGAGAAAGGAAAGAGTGCACAAGGGACAAGCTGCTCCTTCTCATCCCCTACCCTTTCTTTTACTCAGCTTGGGGAATACTTCCCCCTCAGGCACTTGACTGGGGAATTTTAGAACTACACACACTTCCCTACCAATAGATGAAGCAACAAGCAGCAGCAAAGGCCTTTCAGTTGACATTCCTGTAACTTTCTTGACAATAATGTCCCCTCACCAACAGCAAGGGAAGAGATCACAGGAACCTTTACAACTTTCCCCAATGTAATTTCTAGCTTACCATACTAGGACTAGTAGCAACTCAGCTAACCTCCCTGAACGTTGATATGTAGGCTGCAAAGCAACCAATCTGACACAAATGTTGCTGCTGTGAAGAGAGGGAGAATGCTGAATCACAGGTGGAAGGACACATATATAGATGTTTGCAATGCATGACACTGGATGGAAGTGCTGATGGACCTAGCAGGAGTCTGAAAGACTAGGTGGCATATTATCTACAGATGGTAAAACGCATCACTAACAGAGGCAAATATTTTCAAGCAGCTTCCTGTTGGAAGTCTGGAAGCGCATCATTAACCTGGTACCAGATACACACAATATTTTGAGAATGCTACTTAAAAATTCATGTAAAGATAAATCTTGGTAAAACCTCCTCTGGAAGAAAGGCATAAAGCCAACCAACTTACTCAGATATCTCAAAATGAGTCTGATTACTAGACCCATACTTAATCAATATTTCTGGGACATGCCCTTTCCTGGCCCCCTTTCCATACCAAAAGGAACATGAATATCACAGGTGAACAAAGGCAAAATATATTATTTAATTATAATACATAAAAATTACAATGTAAATTAAAATTTAAACTCTGTGAACGACTTCAGTGATTCACTCTTATCTGCTATTAAAAAAACCTAAAAGAATAAGTCACATAAGCCTACTGTTATACCCTCCCTCTATCTCCTAAAAACCCCACTTCAGCTGCTCTCTCCATCACCTTCTGGATGCCCTACAAAAGCTTCAACTAAGTTTAACAACACAAAATTCGCAGTCTTTCCTACAAAGCCTATTTCCCTATTTCACACCACCATGTTACCTGTCTATCCCTAGGAGTCAGCTTTGACACCATTTCTCTCACACCCGCATAGCTATGTTGTAGCCAATCTTGCTGCTGCTGTTTTCATAAGTGTCCAGTACACATACAGCTAAAACTTTCATCCAGGCCCTCATCTCTTGTCCTGATGCCTGTAACCCTCTTTTCATCCCATTCCAACATACATAAGACAGACTTCTGAAGAGAGGTTAATGGCCCTTTTCAAAGCCCTTCTCCAGTGACTATATCCAGTAACGGTTTCTTCTAACTTCCAAGAATTTCATAGGTCTCTCTCTCTGATATTACCTATTCTTCCTTCACTGTTTCTCTACCATGCTGTTTGACCAATGACACTAAGCTTAACCATCCACCTGCTCATCCCAAAAACCATACCTTCACCTTGCTTCCAAAATACCTCTTGTTTATGATCTTATTCTTTTTCGTCTAACCCCTTTCAAGACCTAATCCTACTGTAACAGCAATATGGCATCAGCCAAAATTAGGCAGACCAATAGGCTGTTGTTAAAACCTGCTTTTCAGTAATTTTCAAACTAAAAATAGTCATAAACATGCACACAGAAATATATGTAGATTTGACTCCCTTGCTACCTCTCCTTTGTGTATGCGCTGTGATCTTACAAGATGAATTCTGTAAGGTAGGACCACAGCTACGTAAAACATCTGTCCAAGAACAAGATGTAATGGTCCCGGGTCATGACTACTAGCAGCTCCCACAATAGAAACGTTAACACTTAACATAAAATTGCTGTAAAAACTTCCATAACAGCATATAGTCAGTGACTTGTCATGGAGGCATCTTCCCCACAGAGAAAGTAAAGAAGAGATACAAAAAGCTATATTTTAATCAAAACAGGGCTTGAATTAGCCCTGTTAATATTAAAAATGCAATCAGATTTCTGTGCCACAGGTCAGCCCTCCAAAATCAGGATATGGGAAGCCATAGTGTTAAAAAAAGTAGTGTTTAGTTTCTTGTTTTCACATCTGTATAACTAAATTCAACCCTGGCCAAGCAAGTAAGAAGTATACCAACACTGAACTAATAAGCAATTTTAACCTTGCCCTTCAATGGTGCTTTTCTCCATATTCATGCTTATGAAGTTTCTAATATTATTGCCTTCCTTTACTGTTCTCTTATATCTCTGATACATCCCCCTACCCCCCCCCCCCC